ATTACAAGTTGAAATTACGGAACAATAGTAAACGGAAAACAGATATAAAGTAATACATTAAATTATATTGGGATAGTTTTACAATATTCAAACAACTTTCTTTTAAACTCATTGATGTTTTTACATTGCTTGACAGTATTTGGTAATTCCTTATAACATTTAAGACGCTTGTAGTAAAGATTTCATTTATCAGATTCGCTTTTTATCATAGGTAAATTGAAGTCATTTTTCTTACGTGTATCTTTGTTGTGCACATTACTGCCATACTTTAAGTTAATCTTTAGGTATTCTGGTAAATTATCTTCAATAATATTTTTAACAAATTTGATCGTATAATAAAAGTGCTGTTGTTTCACACTTAGTCAACTAAGGACTGATAACATGTCTCTAACGGGCGTGTCATATCGTTTTCGAAGAATGAATCTCATTGCTTGGTTCTGTTGTTTCTGCAATTTATAAATTTGGCTATCATTCATTATGAAGAAAATTGTTGGACAATAATTGAGGAGAGGTTTTATAATTGATTCATATACCATTATTTTATATTTCCTTTTCAGTAATTTGCAAGACGTCGCATAAAGAACTTTTTTTTTGCTATTTTGCTTACGGTATAGTCAATATGATCATTGAACTGTAGCTTCTCATAAATTTTTATACCTAAGTACGTAAAGCTCTGCACCCTTTCTATTTTTTGTTGGTTTATGTTTAAATTACGAAGTTCAGGCATATCAATATTTCTTCTGGATATAACCATGTTGTTGTTGTTGTAGCGGCTGCCACAACCCCGCCCAGATCGGTTGATATCTCAGTCGTTGTCGTCAAGTTCCACTAACGGCAGCCCTAGGAAGCGTGCAGCCTCCACTGGGTCGGTCCACAGGGACAAAGCCGTTAGGGTTGTCGGGTTTTCCGAACATGCGAAGAGAAGTTTCGAGTCATGAGAGGTCTCTCCGCATGCCGGACATTCATTTGGCACATCCGCGTTCAGTCTGCTCAGGTATGAATTTAACCTGCTGCAGTAGCCAGAGCGAAGTTGGGCTATTGTGGTTCTTGTCTCCCGAGGCAGATGAAGCTCCGTCTCGTCAATGTCCGGTGGTTGTGTGTCTAGAACGGCATTCACATAACTCGAGACTGACTTCGTCCGTCAGTTCGTATAGATGCCTCCTGACGTGCCTAGGCGAGGGCTCCTCTGCAAGCAGCTGTCTGTTTGGGTGGCCACATCTGTGGCTCCCAATCAGAAACTGCTTGAAGAGCATTATATTATGCTCCTTGACCGGGA